TACCCAATTATAAGCAAAATCATTGTATATATACTAGTGGAATTATTCTTATGATGAGCTGACATGTATTGCACAGCGGTTCTGATTTCTCATCTCCCGTTGATAAGAAATTTTAGGGTGTAGTTAAAAAAAACACTTTGAAATAGGTAGTTGGTGAACTCGTTTTTGTAAGTGTGTGCTCATGTGCTCAGTCGAATTGTTCCTATGGTGCTAATTATGAAATTCAAATTTAGAGTACTTTATGTTCTTTATTTACTTGTGAATATATGTCTGGTTAGTTAGAATCATAATCGGACTTGAGATATATATATATATATATATATATATATCATACAACTACTTTCTTATCATTGCAATACAACCTAAACAATCTATTGTTTCCCCCGATATAACAAGAAGTCACTGAATAACACTTTTCTGTCTCATTACGTATGTAGTAAGCACATATGAAATATTTTCTTTGTTAAAGTATAAAATTTCTGGATGTTTACCAAAACATCTTCATATCCACACAAAATGGTAACTATCAGCATTAATTCAAAGGGAAATATATGTATATATATATATACCCTGGGACTTCAGTATGATTATCTCCATTCTTCATCTAACTGACCTTATCAATACACATTGCCAAATGTCGTTTTGAAAATTGTTTTCAATCCATTTCTTCGTCATTTCAACTTTCTATAATTCATATAATCTTGTTATTTTTTCACTATCATTGTAACTATAACCATGATATAACATCTCATCCATAATTTATATCATTCAACTTTTGACTCTATTGTTCCCCCACTAACTAGTATGTCATGATAGGACTTAAAGAATTGAATGTTCTAGGCAATGTAGTCCGACGATTATGTCAATATAACAAACGTGATGTAGTTTACTAAAAACTTAAAAAAAAATTGGAAGAAATTGTTCTCTCAATGATCGTATTTGTATATTGTAAACATTCACACATCAAATATTATAACCCCCAAATGCCCTGGTACGGTTGAGAGTGGGAAGAATCCACTCTCTCTCTCTCTCTCTCTCTCTCTCTCTTCTTCGTCATTTCATAGTAACTATAACCATGGCATAACATCTCATCCATAATTTATATTATTTGTATATTACTTTAATCGAATGATTGTAACCTATCAATGAGCCCTACTTCTAATTGATTTTAATCTTCTTGTTTAAACTTTATAACACTAGGCAATTTGAATACTACATTGTTTCGTGTATATCTCAATAGATCAGAAGGTGTTTTGTGGAGAATTTAGTATTTTCATAGTTGAAATCATGAGTCTATTGAAGCTAGACGTTCAGTGGTCTACAGGTTAAGCGTTTGCGCACCAGATCGATACGTCCTGGGTTCGAATCTCACGAGTGCGGGATCTTTGATGTGCACTGCTAAGGAGTCCCGTAATAGGACAAAAAAATGCCGTCCATTGCTTCCAGGTTTTCCATGATGGTCTAGCTTCAATTGACTCATGATTTCAACTATGAATATATCTCAACAGTCAGCCAGTATATGAATATTGAGTATTTAGATGGAATATTTGTTGATTTTTACTCATGATCATCTCAAGTGCTTTTAGAGTTATGAAAATGGTTTTCATTCACTTGTTTCCTATATAATGAAGGGATACCTTTTAAAGTACCTGAATAAAAGAAAATGGTTTACGAGTGATCTTAATGACTTGCGAGTGTCATCTCAATGTCTAACGAAACAACTGTTTGTGGCTGATCACACACGCTTTAGTTGAGTTAACTACGTTGTTTTAAAGCTTAACCGCTGACGATCAAACCCAAGGGATAGGTGATGTTTACTATTTTAAAGGCTGACCTCCTCTAACACCATCTCTACAGAAGTTTTTGTTTGAGGGCAATATGTTACTGACTTCATCGTTCTATATTTTCAACTTTTGGCTCTATTGTTCCCTCACTAACTAACTTAACATGATAGGACCTAAAGAATTGAATGTTTTGGTCAATATAGTCCGATGATTACGTCAACATAACAGACGTGATCTGGTTTACTGGAAACTGGAAAAAATTGTTCTCTCAATGATCATATTTGTACATTTTAAAGATTCACACATAAAATATTATAACCCCCGAATGCCCTGATACGGTCAGGAGTGGAGAGAGTCCGCTCTCCCTCTCCAAATGCTCTCAAATAGATGCGCGTATAAATCCACTGACAGCGAAGTCCTACTCACTTCTTTCTAGCACCAAGCGTGTTGTTTACGGAGTTTAGAGGACAAAAAATAATGTTCTGAGCTTTAATCGGGTTGGTAGATACGGAGAATCCGCCTAGAGGAGTTGGAAAACCCTGATTCCAAACCAGTGGTGTACATGGGCTCCAGTATCCTGAGGGTACAGATGGCGTATGATTCATTTGTTGGTCACTGGCTACTATGTGACTGCATCTTCTCACGATGTTCCACTGTCTTGTGTATCAGATTTTTAGGTCAAAGGCTCCGGGTGTGGCCTCCTAAGAAAACCATCTGTCTCGGTTTGGGCATTTGAGGAGTATCACAGTCCTCACACAAATCAAATGAGATTTGTGTGGCGCATATTTATCTGATGCTTCCTCGTACCAATATGTATGTTTAAATAAATAAAAAAACAACTAATCATTTTATAGATGTGGAGTATTGACATTTGTTTGAGAAAAGTTGTTTATCTTAAATTTAGATTAATGAATTTAAACAATGTCCATTTTTATGATAGATTCTCATCAAGTTGTACACCATTAGTTATCGAAAAAAAACCCTGACTAAAATGGCAATCCAAGTTGTTAGACAACTAACTGTCTTTCCAAAATATAAATTAATGATTATTAATTATCATATGTAGTTGAAATCATGAGTCAATTGAAGCTAGAACACTATAGAAAACCTGGAAGCACTGGTCCACCGTTTCGTCCTATTCTGGGACTCCACAGCAGTGCGCATCCACGGTCTCAACTTGCGAGATTCGAACCCAGGACCTCCCAGTCTCGCGCAAAAGCACTTAAACGATAGACCACTGAGGCGGCATCCGATGGTGTTTATGTCTAACTTCAACCAATCCACGAAGTTGTGCAACGTTTTCACCAATGTCTTCATTGAATTGATATCTCCCAACAGACCTGATTGAACAACTTTGCTATCTGTATCAATTTAATACATTCACGGTTCTTAATAGGCTGATGAGGACTGAAATATCGAAAAAAGGTCATTTGAACTCTTATTAACACCTTACTTTTAGAATCGTTTTGTTGTTTCGTTGATTCAGTAGCTCAGTAGATAATATGTTCGAGTTAGAAGCGAGAAGTGCTGGATTCGAGTCCCTGTTATATTGATTGCTTGAGTGCTCAGTTAATACATGAACTTGCTGATTCTCGCCAATGTGGGAGGAGTGAATTAGTGATCGGATCAATGACATACGAAACCCCTACGAGCAGTTTAAAGTACTTATAGGTTCTGCTTTCTACCTAGCCCAGCCAGTTAAGCCCAAAACACCAATGACATCCTCTGCAAGATGAATCATTATTCTCAAACATACTGAGTTTATATATCAAACAAACTGACCACATCGTACCATAAAATAGAAAATAACATTTGTACAAGATTTGGCAAGATGTGGCTGTGAATAGGGGAACAGTAATTAATAGACTAGAGATAACTCAAGAATGGTAAATCGTATAATAATAGTCTATAGGTCAAAATAAATCTTATAATAAGGACATGAATATGACGAGTTATTATATTATATTGGTCTATAGACAGTCCCCAAAAGTTACCATTCATAATTTTCAACCGGATACAACAGTCCCAAATGGAATGAAACACATTTTCTGTATTCCACTACTAGCTACAGTCTGTCTATACTGAAATAATAGATACCTAATGCTCTTTAAATATTAAAAAGACTGGGATATTTAATATATACGATAATGTGTTAGATTTTCCTAACAAATTCAATCGATCAGCGGGTAACGATGAAGTGATGAATTTCCAACTGAAAGGATTATTAACTCTTTTTTCGATTTGGATGATGATGATGAATAGTCGGAATAAAATGTTTGGAGTTATACAGATAGAATATGTTACTATTTTTTTAATAAGTAGTATACTTTGTATCTTAACTTTTTCTTATAACTTGTTATCGAATGTTTATCTTGTCAGTACCTAGTTTATAGTGTTGTGCTCTTTCTGATGGTTAGTTTATTCACCAAGATTCCGCTAACATTCTATAAATCATTCAACAATGCTAACCTATATTATCGGAGTTAAAAACTCTTTATCATTCAGTCACTTAAGATTGTGTATCCTATTCAAAACATGAAAGTCATCAGTTCAGTATATTGATAAGTTGTAAATGCTCACTACTAGGATGCTATAGACTTCAGTTGATGTTAAATAGCTGTCAAATATATGTTCACATCTGCTTATTTGTTTATTAGTATCATCAGATTTTTCATGTGGTAATATTTACAACGGTAAGTAAGTGTTTATTTCATAGTTGAAAGCTTGAGTCAATTGAAGCTAGACCACCATGGAAAACCTGGAAGCACTGGACGGCCGTTTCGTCCTATTGTGGGACTCCTCAACAGTGCGCATCCACGATCCCGCACTCTCGAGATTCTAACCCAGGACCGACCAGCCTCGCGCCAGAGTCCGTAACCGATAGACCACTGAGCTGGTCGGTATTCAACGGTGTTAATGTCTAACTTCAACTGATCCACGTAGTTGAGCAACCAATCACCAATTTTCTTCAGTGAGTTCCCATCTCACGACAGACCTGGTTTGCACTGCACTGGTCACTGCTTCTCACTGAGGAGTCTCATAATAGGACGAAACGGCCGTCCAGTGTTTCCAGATTTTCTATGGTGGTCTAGCTTCAATTGACTCAAGATTTCAACTATGAAACATACTAAATCTCCACAAAAACCCTTCTGATAAGTGTTTATTATCCTAATTTTATCCCATAACTCTTTACATTTCTTCTGTACGCACTTATAGATGACAATCTTTGTTGATACATTCGATAAAGGTACTGAACGAATTCACTCAGATTTACCATATTATTCAAGTATATCATCCTATCTTGGTGAAAGTTCTATAACAACATTTATTCCTAATATCACAGGAATATTTCATCGTTTTTATTTACCGAATGAAAATTATTATCTAAGTTCATCTACAATTGGACCGAATTTATTGATTAAACGGAAAAATTGTTCTGCTGATAGAAGTAAGTTTTTTTTCTATACAAATAAGATTTTTATTATTGAAGGTTTTGTAAAGATTATATAATTTTCTATAGTTTAAATCTGGAAGCACTGGACGGCTGTTTGGTTCTCTCATGGGACTCCCCAGGAGTGCAAACTCACGCCACTGTATCCAGGTACAGAACTTTCGGTCTCATGAGCTTGTGTCTAGATTCAAGACCAATTGGCTCAGGCCTAATAATTTATAGAGGTCTATCTTCGATCAACATAATGTCATGACTAAGTTCAAGATGAAATTCCTTTACGTCGAGTGAGAAGCCATGACCAGCGAAGTTTGATCATTTCGGGTGTGAGATGGCTATTTTCTGCTTTCAATGGATGAGGGTTGCGCAAAATCACTAGTTGATTGAAGTTTTCTGTGTGCATCAATGGATTCCGGCTCGATGATCCAAAGAGTAAAGCGTTTGTAATCAAGAACGAAGGTCTCAGTTCCGACTCCCGAGTACGATGTCGTGAACATGTACTTTTGTGGGGTTTAGTACAAGGACAGAAAGGTATCAAAACGTTCTTTATCAGGGAAACTAATAGTAGTTTCATTGTTAAGGGCTTGAATATTCATCATGAGGATGGAGAAATGAAAACTGGGGTAGGAAAGCTCAGAATGATGAGATAAAATGTTGAAATTGTTATGAAATGTAATCAGGAGGATCATCGAAACAGAAATAAACTAGTTGAGGGTAGAAGGTTTAAGGTGAAAATGGAAGGGGAAATAGATGGTTCTAAAGGAAGAAAAGTACGAAGAATGAAAAAAAATAATATGACATTAAGACCATGGTAGAAGAAGAGGCTGTACCAATTTCTTTTGGACACACAATTCTGGTTTTCCCAGATGTATGGCTATTGCTTCGGTAATGCTAAGAAAATGCAATATAATTGCTTTTGGAAGACTTCTGCTTACTTTGTAGATGATTTTGAACGCAAAGTTCGTCTTGATTGAGTGGCATGTGTTCACAAGGTGTTCGATTATTGAACTCCTTATTGCGCCGTTTCCTTCTGTTCTTAGCCACGCCGGTTTATATTCTTGAATTCATTTGGATAAAGTAATCATTGAACGACCTATATACCTGGCTTCATATGAGCAAGTAAATTAATAAATGCACACATAGTTGGTTAGATGAGATCATCAGTACTCAGCCATCGTCTATTTAGAACATCATACGTAGATGAATCAGAATCTTATACCATGTACGCTTTCTGGATGACGGTATTAGACTGAATGACTATCAGCAGATCTCAATGAACATCAAGAACGCTGAAATAATTAAACTGATTTGATGAATTTTTCATATTGATCTGTACAAAAAAGTTACTGATGTGAGCTACTTATATCCACATAAGTAGTATACAGTGATAATCAGGAATGGAATATATTTTAGTAGAAGATTGAGAAGGAAATAACAGAAATGAAAAACAATCGGTATGAAAATACAGGAACAATAAAATCTTAGACGATTAACTTATATTTACAATAGGAACAGTCAAGTTTGAGACAATGGATTGATATTTTGCAAATTAAGTATCTAGTGTATGATTGTCAGATTTTACTAAAACATTCTGTAATTTTGTATCGGTTGTTCCCATTAGTGTTCTTGTTCACTACAGTAGGAATTGATATATTATTTAATTACTACCAAAGATATAATATTTTATTGTTTAAATTCCTTACTGATCACTTTTGCTTATTCATCTTTTTAAATGTATAGGATTTATGGGAATGGTTACGTTGAATACAATTTGGTGTAATTATTTTCATTATGTTCCAATTGGGTAACTTGAAAAAGAAAAACAAAATGAATAACTTCACTTTGTATTGTTTGTTTGAGTGTTCCCATTGATGTTTTTAGGACTGCAACTGGTCAGTCACTTATTGGCATATGTGCATACTGTGCGGTATTGCCTCAATATAGCCTTAATTCACAAGCATGGTAAGGAAAAATGGATAATGGCTAGCAGTGGAATCCAGTTTGATGCGCGTTTCATCCTATTTGGGACTCGTCAACTGCATGTTCATTAATGTTCATTAATGATGGACACTGTCACCATAATTCTCGGTCAACAGAGTAGAACTGTATCTTAAGTTCAAGGAATCTGACTATAGTTGGGTGGTGAAAAGTATATCGATGATTTTATTGCAATTAATGGTGATCATCTCAATTAATATAATGATCAGAATAGGTTTCACTGAACACACCTTCATTTGATAAAAAATAATTAAGTTTCATCCTTATAACTCTATATCTCAACGGATTACAGAAAGAATGAGATATAACTTTTTCTCTGACTACTTCCAGGTTTTCCATGGTTGTCTAGCTTCAATTGACTCATGATCTGAACTATGAAAATACTAAGAATTTGTCAATTAATCCAAAATGGTCAAGTGATTTACGTTGGAAGGCGGTTTTTAAAAGTAGTCGACCAAAAGCCTAGCTTGACCTAGTATTCATGGTATTTGGAACTTCTTGTCTAGGTTGTATTTGTCGTCTTAAGCGAACTGATACTTTCTCGTGAATTTAATCTCATATCACCCAGTTTTGTAGCCAGAAGGTGAACTATTTAGAAGAGATTGTTTAGACAAAATTGTAATATTAACTGAAATATGAGAAAAGACACAGTTCTGTCTCCTCTATGAAAACAATGATCTTATTAAGCAATGATGGATAGTGCCTAGCAGTGGAATCCAGGACGAGTGTTTCGTTCTATTTGGGACTCGTCAGTTTGATGTACCTGCATCTCAGACTTGTTGATGTTCACTCTGAAACCTGAACCCAGCACCTTTCGCTTCAAACTCAATTAGTAGCTGAATGGATAACGCGATGGCGTTTAAAGCGAAAGGTACTGGGTTCGAGTCCCAGAGTGAACATCAACTCTGAGATGTAGGTACATCCAGCTGACGAGTCACAAATAGTACGAAGTGACGCGCGTCCTGGATTCCACTGCTAGCCACTATCCATCTCTGCTTACCATGCTTGTGAATTAAAGCTATATCGAGGCAATACCGCACAGTATGCACATATGCTAATTAGAGACTGACCAGTTGCAGTCCTAACAAAAATCGATGGAAGATTCAAATAAACAATACTAAGTTGAATTTATGATACAATGTTTTGTTACCCTTCTGTTTATAAGCTTAGCGTTGAGGTTTAGAATAAAAGTTAGTGTTGGAGAATACTATCTAGCTTCACTAAACAGAATTGACTATGTATTGAATCACGTCAAGTACACACAATCCTCCTTAAGAGCAGGTATGCTCTGTGAGTGAGTTTGAGTACCATCTTAAATTCACTTTATGGTGGGATAATATATCTTCTAAATGACTTCAAACACTTTAAGAACCAAATAATGACATTTTTCACTTCGTCAATAATAGCATAAACCTTATCCATCATTACACTTCAGATTTTGCACGAAATATATGAGGCATCATCTTCATTCTGATCAGTTAGCTTACGGTTGTCAGTATATTATACATTTTAATATCACATTAGGATTGGATAGGGTAGAACTGTCTATAGTCTAAATAGAACTAGCTCGCCAATTGGGTTTAATTATTAAGGGACTTACACTAAGATAAAGCAATTGTTCTCTAATTGTACTGCCTTCTGCTTTTCAATCTTCACGTTCCGTATAGTATATATATATATATATGAAGATTTAGTATTTTCATAGTTGACAGCGTGAGTCAATTGAAGCTAGACAACGATGGAATACCTGGAAGCACTGAACGGCCGTTCCGTCCTATTGTGGTACTCCTCAGCAGTGCGCATCCACGACCCCGCCTCGCGAGATACGAGCCCAGGACCTACCATTCTCGCGCCAGAGCACTTAAACGATAGACCACTGAGCTGGCACCCGATGGTGTCAATGTCTAACTCCAACCAATCTAATCAAATCATCAATTTAAATTATATTTTTCTTCATTTATTTACTGAATTATAGAAATGATAAAACAGAAATATCTTTTCAACTTCCAATATCATCGATATCATTTTCAAATTATTTCAAAGAATCTCCTTCATTTATTGATTTTTATTTGGATCCAAATTGTGTTTATGAAGTGTCTGTTTATTATTCTTTAATCAGTTGGTTTTCTCAAGTAAGTAATCAAGTAGATGTTTAATTTATTATTAATAAGATGTTTATGTTTGTATGAATAAGATTGTTTTACATCTCCATGGTCGTACTCATTGCCTTCTCGTCGCATTACTGATTTTTTACGAAATTGAGAGGACGAAAAGCGAATGTCCGGCGCCTTAACCGGGTTGATGGACACGGAAAGTTCACCTAGGGGAGTTGGAAAACTCGGATTCCAAGCCAATGTTGCACATGGGCTCTAGTATCCTGAGGGAACAAATGGCGTATGAATCGATCGTTGGTCACCGACTACCATGAGACTGCATCTTCTCATGATGCTCCACTGTCTCGTGGATCAGATCATTAAGTCAAAGGCTCTGGGTGTGGCCTTGTAAGGAAACCACCTGCTTTAGTTTGGGCACCTGTACAGTATCACAGCCCTCACACAAATCAAATAAGATTTGTGCGGCGCATATATATCTGGTGCCACTTTGTACCAATATTTATGTGTTTTTTTATTTATGTGTATATCCCTAAAATCGGTCGAAATCCTTTATTCACCCACTTTTTATACATACTTTGTTCTTTGAATTACTAAAGTTATTGATAATAGTCTTGACAACCGATACGTTTTTGTAAATGCACACTGCATCTTGGCTAGTAAATTTTTACCGCACATTTTGAACTAATATATGAGTGATATTTGTCTAGTGTAAAAACAGTTAATGTAGTGTGGACAGAATCAAGCTCTGTTCTACTTTACGTCTGTGAAACATAGCCATTAAGAGTAGAAGATACTCGTAAGTTACTAGTATTTGATCACAGATGTCTTAGAAATATTGCTCGCATCTGCTAGGATAACTGGTTAAGTAATAGTGAGGTTAGACATAGGGTATTAGGAAATGATGGTAAATTAGTTGATGAGGTGATGAGTCTTCATCGACTGAGATAGTTGAGCCACGTGTTACGTATGCCTGAACACCGATTACCACGACACTTAATGCTGACTAGTATTGGGGATGGTTGGAAGAGAGTTAGGTGGAGGGCCAAACCTAAGCGTGTCATCAGAGCTTGAGGTCACTTACTTCTAGTCTGAGCCATGTTGATAGATGCAGACTACTTGGTTGGGGTCCGCGTGACCATCGTAACCAATGGTTGGAGACTGTGTGTGACATGGCTCAGAATCGATCACAATGGCCTGGGTGTATACGCTCTTTATCTTTCCTTAAACTTTGAGATTTAAATTGCTTCATATCTGTCCTTCTTCCTGTACTGCATTCTTATATACAATCTTTTATATATTACCACCACCAAATTAACTACTATGAATTCGGCGTTCATCTTGTTTTGCTAACGAGGTATGGCAACTTGGACCGATGCATATATGTGCGTGGTCCTACGTTGGAGCTGACCGACTGACTGACTTTATAAACCTCATATAACACTAGTAATTAGATGGACATCTCCAAGGTCACTTTGATGTCGCTCAAAGGTCATACATAAATTATAGTTCCACTGATTTTGTGTGTGTGTGTGCATGTAGAAAAGTAACATTGTTGTCTTGATGACAAGAATTGTATCTTTATATTTGACTTTTTTCTTAAAATGTGTACATATAAATAACCGTGATATTGTAATTTCTCTCCTGTTTGTATTGTTCTGTAAAGAAAATACCTCAGCAACGATGAGTTTTTTAGAGGTTCATGTTTGTGTAGGAAATTGGTTCCTCCTTTTTTTAAAAAAAATAATGAGATTGAAACTATGCAAATGGATCTGGACGTTTCAATGTATTCGTTTGTGTTCTTGTTGTCGTCAGTTTAAATGGTTGATTTACATATTTCCTATGTTTATGAAAATTATACCGATTAATTTGTTTTGGAATTAATTCACAATTAGGAATATTAACAGTTTTACGTTTCTTTAATCCAATACATTCATATGGAGAAGTTGTAGTAACAGTAGTATTAGTAGTAGTATCTATGAATATGAAAAAGAAAAAAAAAGTTTTTATTGTCCACATCATCATTGTCTTTTTCTTTGATCTATTGGATCAAATATGAAAAATATTTTTCAGTTAATCAGACTTAAGACCGATGTTTATTACTATCATGATCATTTATTTATTTGAACACATAAATATTGATACAAAGGGGCACGGAATACATATGCGCCACACAAATCAAATAAGATTTGTGTGAGGGGTAAGATACTACTCAGGTGCACGAACCGAACCACATGGTTTTCTTAGGAGGCCACACCCGGATCGTTCGACCTAAAGGTCTGGTCCACAAGGTGGTGGAACAACGTTAGGAGATGTAGTCCCATGGTAGCCGCTGGCCAACAATTGGTTCATACGCTTTTTGTTCCCTCAGGATACTGGAGCCTATGTGGACCATTGGTTTGGAATCAGGGTTTTCCAACTTCCGTAGGTGGACCCTCTGTGTTCACTACCAACCCGGTTAAAGCGTCGGACATTCGCTTTTTGTCCTCTCAATTTCACAAACAACACGCCCGCTGTGAGAATGCAGTGAGTAGGAGTTGCCTGGCAGTGACTATATGAGGGTATGTCAACAAGGAGAGCTAACTCTCCCCACCCTCGTCCATATCAGGGCACTTAGCAGCAGATTTATTCTCCAACATAATTGAGTAAAGACATAAATTAACGGGTTAATAAGCAAAGAAGGGTAACTAAACATATTCTGCACACACATTGTAAAGTTATGAAATAACATTAAGGTTACAATTTAGAAACAAAAAATTTGATACGTAGCAGATAAATAGCGAATATATTCATAAAATTATAAAAAACCTCATCAGTGTTAATCAATTTACACCTAAATGAGATTGACTTAATATCTGTAATATGAGTATTTTTGTAAAGTATAAGTATTCCTTTCCTCGAATGCTTAATCTTGAGACCATTAAGTTGGGGGTCCGTTGGTATATAAGTCTACCTGCAATCAATTCACGATATTGTCTAACTTAACTCACTTCATGATCTCAATAGAACTCAACATTCTTCGAGACCCCATGCTGACGATTGTCATGTACTCACTTGTTCTAGTTAGAAGTTGCAACCAATGCAGTTCAGTCACGTCAGTCATATAAGGTACTCACCAAAGACAATCGGAGATAGTCATGCAATATCACACACTGAATGAAGTTAGATATGTACACCATTGGATATCTCTTGTGTTCTAGAAGTTGACCGTTCGCGAGCGAGACTGAGAGTCTTGGGATCGACTGCTTGTTGTGAGGTCATGGATACATACATCTGATGAATCCCGTGCTACGACGAAACGATGTTAATGCTCTGTAGTTCCCAACAACTTTATAACTTATATCGGTTCATGATTTTGATAAAAATAATGAATTTGAAACCTTCGTCAGTTTGATGAAAGCAGTTGTCCTGGTTTTTCGTTTATTACTGTTATATCCCCTGGTGAATTATGAATGATAACTCTAAGGATTATTTATCGACCAATGTATTATGCCTATTTCTTATTGTACAGTTGTTACGTAACTAAACTATTCATATTTGTGTTTCTCTTATCATGAGCTTTATTTTGATCTTTGATTTATTATCATACGATTCTTGAGTTATAATCAGTTTATTGATTACCTTGGTTTGTATAAAAACCCAGTATGTTTGTAAATAATGATTCATATTGCCGAGGCTGTTATTTGTGTTCTTGACTCAAGTGGCTGGGCTAGGCAGATAGGAAGGACCGAATAGCACCCAAGACAATTCAGGCCAAAAATCTATACGATATAACAATTACTATTATTATCATTATTATTATTATTTGGTTCATGATATAAGACTGTCTTTAACGTTATTGGTTGAATTATATTACAATTATTAACCTTTATAAGTTTAAATGACTTACCATTTTCTGTCAGCTCACTAATTGGTGTTGTTCTTGTAAGTGTCCCATTATCCTCTTCAAGTATAAAAGATGGTGATATTATATTAGGTTTGTCAATATCTAAACATTCATCAATTGTCATACAATGTAATAAGAAATTTGATGATGAATCGTACACGGCATCATGAACTGGATGCTTTTTGTCAGCTATATTTATTGATTGCATTTCTGTCATTATACGAAAAGAATGAATAGACGGTTAGATAAATACAACAGAGGAATTAGTTTTATTCAGTTTTATAGTAATATAACAATTATATATAAAAAATTAATAAAAATTTCCACAGAACACCCTCTTATCATATGCTCACTAGTGACTGGCTACATGAGGTATTTCTTGGAGTTCTAGTGAGAAGCAGTAACCAGTGGAGTTCAACCAGGTCTGTTGTGAGATATCAACTCACTGAAGACATTGATGAATGGTTGCTCAACTTCAGGGATTGGTTGAAGTTAGACATTAACACCGTTGAATCCCCGCCGGCCCAGCGGTCTATCGGTTAAGTGCTCTTGCGTGAGACTGGTAGGTCCTGGGTTCGGATCTCGCGAGTGCGAGATCATGGATGCGCACTGCTGAGGAGTCCTACAATAGGACGAAACGGCCGTTCAGTGCTTCCAGGTTTTCCATGATGGTCTAGCCTAAATTGACTCCATGATTTCAACTATATATAAAAATATTACTAAAAGTCTCCACAGAAAATCCCCTATTATAACAATAATTGTATTTATTAGTTCATTTCAATGTATACTTTCAGGCAAGGTCAATAATCCATATGTGTACATGACTTATTGATAACGTGAATATTTAACTTTTGTTTGATCATATTATGTTGGACTTATTCATAGGATTCATAAGATTTACAGATCAATGATTTATTTGATTAAATTTCAACTGTTGTATCTCAGGTTCGAATCCTCATTTTCTATTTACTTACACTTTGATTTAAACAGATAAAAAAAATAAATATTCACTTTTTGATTATCAGTAATATATTATTTCACCTAAAGATAATGCTCTTCAAGAACAGTTCTTCATCAGAAGATAATCAAATTCAACAATTTAAGTAAATGACATACCGAATTGTTGCTACGTTGA